AAGCACTTCTAGATCCATTATTAGAAAGAGTTTAAAAGCAGCCTGAGGCTGTTTAGAGAGGCAATAGTGCTTCCTTTATTAAAAAAAGAGAGAGAGAGAAAGTAAATTATGGAATATGCAAGAAAGTCCTTGAGCTATAGGAGAGACTGAGAGGGAGCTGAGAACAAAAATCTGTATCAGTCTCGATGAGGTCAAGTATGTTTCTTCAACATTTGCCATAATTATCTGGCAAATACCTGGCAATAATGGTGTCATTAAACAGAGCTGTGGGAACTTAGAGAAAACACTTGATTTCTTCCCTCCTCCCCCACAGACATTGTAAATGAGTTCACGCTGGATTTAATCTTCCAGGCCTGGTCTGCTGGTGTCACCACACAAATGCAAGCTTGATGGCAATGAATAATCTCCACATATCTGGCATTGTGATTAAATGAAGCATGAGAGTAGGCTTCTGCTCTTGCATACAACATAAGTAAATGGGGCCATTCTGCAGACAACTCTCCTGCACGTGTCCCTCGTAAGGACTTTGATACCCTGAATTATCACAATGGCAGCTTTCAGCGGGGTTAAAACTGCTTTCAACAGGAAGACATATGTCTCGTGAAGAATGTTAACACTGTGTTTTGTCTGTCACTTGCTTCAGGTGCAAGACGAAACTTAAGAAATGATTTGCTGGTGGCAGCAGATTCAATCACCAACACTATGTCTTCTTTGGTAAAAGAACTAAATTCTGGTGAGTGGGGCTAGCGAGGGCGGATAGTCACCACACTGATGTTTCACATATAATTAAGAAAATGGGAGGTAGGAAAATATAAACAAACAAAAAAAGCAGTGTATGGTATCTTTCAAAGCCTTTTATGCTTTGAGAAAAAAGGTCCCTAAATAACAGCTTCAGGAACACAGCAGTTCTGAAAGCCATGGCTGTAGAGATGCAGGTTGGATACAGTGGAAACTTTGAGAAGTTTGTGATTCCACGTGGAGTGGGATTTCGCTCTTTAGAAATTTCCCTCAGTATAGAACATACGGGACCTGTCGTAAAATGCAGTCTGTAGTATTCTCATAAAAATATCCTACCTAATAACTGAGATAAGCAAACCTTCACTATTCTGCCCCACCACAAGAAGAAAACTATAAGCTCTGCAGATATATGTAGAATAATATACTGTTATTTGTTGTGAGGAGGTGGTGGCGGCATCCTAAGTTGGAAAGGCAGAGTAAGGCTCAGAGAAATAGGAAAGTATACTTACTTTTGTGAAAGTTAAACAGAACCACGTGTCACCTTTTGCTTCGCAGAAGTGGGCAGCGAGACAGAAAGCAATGTGGATTCTGAATTTGGACGGACTCATTTTGATGACCTTGTTCCATCCCCAACGTCTGAGAAGGCTTTCCTCGCGCAGATCCACGCCCGGAAGCCAGGGTACATCCACAGCGCTGCTGCCACCGGCTCCATCCGCAGTGACATGTGGGTACCTGCTTGATTCTTAATCTCGTTCTTCTTCTGTTGCAAACGATACACGGCATGCAATATTTTCTCTCCCTCTCAACTATTTGATTACCAAAAAAAATGCCTAAATCCAAGTGGGGACAGTTTCATGGTTAGTGAGCTCTGTAAACAATATAGGCCAGAATTTAGGACGCTTTCAGGAGTGAGCTCTCTCACATCCAGTCTGGAAAACTCAGTCAGCATGGAGGCTGTGGGACAGCTGTGCTCCCTAATATGTGCTCCCTGCAGCCCTATTCCCTGCTTATCCAGACTGAAGGGCCTGTTGGAGCCCACTGGGTTAAGAAAAGTTATTAACTGGAAAACACAAAATTATTTTTATTGAGCAACTCAGTCGATCAACAAACTGATTTTAGAACCTGAATCTTCCTATCAAAGACAACAGGCATCTCTCCAGTAAGAGGTTTTAGTTCAACCTCTTACTCTTTGTATCACTCTCAAAGAAGTTAAGGAGGACATGACCGTAGGGTTATACCCCGAAAATGCCTTCAGCAAAATATGCCCTTTGGTCTACTTCATTAATATCAGACCACTGGAGAGGAGCAATAGCACAGGTGTTTTCCACTGCCAGAAAAAAACTAACCGCTGGAGCGGGCGGTTGGACCGAAAGTGGCCCTCACAGCTCTCCTCATAGCTTATGATAAAGGGACGTTTTATTGACTGAATGTCATTCATCTCAGGAGGCTATTTATTAATAATTGTCTTTAGGGTTACAGAAGATGGAGACCCCTATGTCAGAGCGGATGATGAAAATTATGAGAATGACTCTGTCCGCCAGCTGGAGAACGAACTGAAGATGGAGGAGTACCTGAAGCAGAAGCTGCAGGATGAGGCATACCAGGTGGGAGAGCTGCCCATACCTCTCCATAAGTGAGAAACCGCAATACACCACAGCTGCCCAGTGCCCTTATTAACCCATCCTGCGGCATGATCTCTTCTCTGTTACTTGAGCAGCCACATTCCAAAACCTGCTGTTGGTCTCTTCCACAGACAGGCATTCATCTAGCCTTTGTGCACGTCCAGGGAGACCACACTGCCTGAGGCACACAACAGTAGTCCTTAAGCTGACCAGAGCATCGAGTGAGCCAGGGTTGTCTCTGAGCTGCTTCCCTGCCAGTGCCCACCAAGTCACTTAAACCTCAGTGCTCCACACCCTAGAGGCTGGTTGGTGGTGTTAGGCTGAGCTCTTGCTGTATTTTTTTTTTTTTTCCTCCAGTAGCAAAAAGCATTCATTATGGTTTCTCCACTCAAGTAGAGTCTGTGTGTCATTGTCAGAATCTGGAAGGGAAGGAAAGGATCTGGAATGAATTGTATCCCAGAGGACCAAGTACTCAACAAGCATCTAGTATAGAGAAGCCTGGGGATTTGTCATTAAACACCCCCGAGGAAGTTTTCAGAGGGCATTTAAGATTCTGAGAAAAGACAATTTGCCAGGGTGAGATGGAATTCTGTAGATATCCTGTCCTGGCTGCACTTCTGCCTGGTGTAAGGGACTACTGCCAGTTTTTCAGTTATTCTGACTCAGATCATCCTTCTATAAAATTAATTACTTCTTATGATGTCGGTGGTAATGTCAGTAGGAGGGCACACCCAATGCAGTTATTTGGGAGCAGAGCTGAAGCATGACTCACTAGTTTCCCAAACAATGATCAGTTATAATTTGGAACTCACCACTGCAGCATGTAACAGACCAAAAGTATAAATGGGCTAAAAAAAAAGGATTAAGCAGGTAGTGAGAGATCAGGTGTACGGGAATGAGGTTCAAAAGCACCTTCTGGGCAAGAATTCTTTAAACTACTGATTGCTGGGAGCTAACAAAATGTAGGCCTTTGGGTTTTTGGTAGTTTTTCTCTAGTGTCCACTGATGGTCACTTTGGAGACAAGAATCTGGGACTGACAGGCTCATTTTCTAATGAAGAATAACTGCTCTTTTGGTCTTCTTTTCTGTAAAGCTGCTAGGATAAGTTAGTCTTGTGAAAGTTCGTTGACTCATGTCAGAACTGCAGGTAGTTTTGAGGTTGATATGAGCTTTTTTTGTTGTTGTTTACCTCGGTCTGTTACACGCCCATGGTAGGCTGCCAAAAGTAATTTCATTGCAAAGGTCTTTAAGGACATGACAACAGGAGCAGAATTGTTGCAGAATATCTGCTAAGGCATCAGTGTGTGACATGGGGGGGGTTTGTCATATTTTTTAATCCGAAATGGGAAGTGGTGAAAATGACAGCCTTTAAATTTCTGAACAGAATGAGCAGCTACTGCTGATGTAGTGGAAAGTAACTGTCAGTTACAAAGAAGGAATAGCTGAATGGTGACAGCTGTCAAGCATCAAATAATAAATGTTATTATTGCTGCTAAAAATTCCATTTTGTCCAGGAAGAATGATAGACCAATTTGGCTGTGCTTTGATTACAGTATGGAAGTGCAGTGTATGGCAACAGTGTTACACGGGTTTCACAAGCTACAACGGGATTTTGTACAGGCACAAAATTGAGTATGCACATGCACTGCAAAATAAGGACATCCCTTACGTAGCAGAAGTTACGAGTGTCACTCAGTCAGACTGGGTGTTACTCTTGCTTCAGTCAAAATACAGCTTTTCTACCGTCTTCCAACAACAGTCTGAGAAGGGGAGGAAATCTCCCTACCGATGTCAGAATAAAACTCCTTTTCGGCTCAGGTCAGCCAAGACTATGCCCAGGTGAATTTTGATCCCTGTTGTTTTACATGATTTGTTTCCACCTGGGGGAGAAAAAATCAGAAAAAAGAGAAAGGCTTTTTTCTTTCAAAAATGTGTTCACCGAGTGAACAGAAAGCCCTCGTTCCAGACAAGTTCTGTTTAATAGCATTTTTCCAAGAGAAATTTCATGATGTACTCTCCTGTGGGTGCGATTGTTAGCTCCTGTCAGGCAGTGATTTCACGGTAGTGACTTGTAGGCAGAAACTATTTTTAGTTGATAACCACAGACCCAAAGTATGCTGCATGTGAGAGGTCCTTCGCGGTATGGCTGGTGCCCTTTCAATTAGGGAACGAGTCTAAAGCAGGCAATAAAAAATTATTAAATCAGTAGGGACCACTAGAATGTTTAGGAGTTGGTTGTTGATAGTGTGTTGGTAGTGAAACATGTGCTTTGGCCTTGGCTCATTCTCTGCCCTTGGCAGTTAATTTTATGGTATTTTGTTATTCTGTTCCTGTTTCTATGGTCTCTAAAGAGAAAGGCACAATTTTCTACTTGCAAAGACAACGGAAAATTGGGAAATTCCTATTTAGGATATCCCATTGAACAGTGGCCAGGTCAACTATTCTTGTTTTGCATCAAACCATTGGGATTTATTACAGACTATTTTATTTGTACTCGCATGTACACTGCATTCATCTGGATAGCCAAAGAAAGGTGGTGGCTTTGCTATGGTAATGCAGTTGTCAGCTGAAAAAAATCTGCAAGGAGAAACTCCTACTAGGGTTACAAAATGGTAACCTCGGTAACAATATGTAACCATTTTTAAGTTATTAAATGTCTCACTTCGTGTAAAAGCAGCACATTTAGAAAAACATGTAGATGTCGCGTGGAAGATGGTTGGTCAAAACCCACACTTGTTATTTTGTGTCACCTTGTCTCCAAGCAAGATTTCCAAACAAAACTCAAAATTAGTATTAAAAGTATGGGCAGAAAACCCAAGATACACAAGGAAATCTGGGACAGGGAACCTCAAAGCAGGCTTCTTTCTCTCTCTTTTTATTGAAGCATGCTGTAAATACCAAGTGTCTGTACCAGGAAAAAAACACATTTAGTGCACAAGTGTAAAGGCCAACAATGCTTATCCTCCTGTAACTGCTACCAGTTGTGTTCAGTCTTTTGCTAGATGTGTTGTGTAAGACACTTTTCATTGGGTTTATTTTCTGTGTCTGTAATTGCTCCCTTTATTTCCAGGCTTGTGCATGGCTTTCTTCAGAATAATACACTGCAGGGCTGCTCACTGGCTTAATTTGTCATCTTCTTGTTTTCTATCCTTTGTTATCCACAGGTCAGTTTGCAAAGTTGAGTGCAATATCCTTCTCTCTCTCCTCTCAAGTAAGTATCATCATCATTTAGAAGAATGTTTGGAATTAATCCTCATAATGTGTTTTCCAGTTGCACCTTCTGCTGCCTGAGTGTATGTGATGATGCTGTTTCTTTTTCCTTTTAACTTGTTTTAGGATGCCTAGGAATCTGTCTAAATCTGAACTTTTAATAATCCTTCTGAAATGTTGCCCTAGTCTTGAGGATTCCTGTTAAGCCACCACCCTTCTTGTCTTCTTCCTTTGTTCACCATAAGAGTGAGAACAGGGGCTTTTTCATCCCTGAGGACGATGACAAATATATTAGCCAATACAGAGGAACCTTATCCAGAAGATAAGGAATCAGATTACATTTCAGGAAACCCGAATTCAATTCCTTACAATGCTAGTCTTCCTAGGATAACTGAAATAAATCATTGTCATCTCCCTAGACTTGTGCAGAGCGTTTGAGAATGTCCCACATGACATCCTTGTCT